GCAAGAAAGGAGCTAGGCATGAGAACAGAACTGAAGCTGTGTATAAAGGAATTATATGTGTATAAAGGAATTATATGTGTATAAAGGAATTATATGTGTATAAAGGAATAATGCCAGAGGAATTAAAGCGAGTGGACAATAGAGCTCAATGTGCTGAGATTCTATTTCTAGAAAATAGTCCTCGCAGTCAATAGTTCTCTCCTGAGCTTCTGGAATGTATAATATTGAGGCTGGTCTCACTAATATTATACAAGAGGAGTCTTCTCTGATCACCTGTTCCTCATGGATTGCATCTGTAGGGTCAGAGGGCAGCACCACCTGATGATGCCTATGAGGTCCTGGGGAACACGAAGTAGGAAGGGTAGATTCAGGGAGCAGAGGGGTCTCAGGGTGGACACGTGGATACTGACCAGTCCGGAGAGTGAGTGGGGCACATATGGGTTGTGCTTCGGGAAGCAGGCTATAAGCTCGTGGCTTCTGGCCGTCCTCTCTTCTGTGGCATTGGCAGGGCATTCGGAGGGCAGAAGGGGAAAAGGCTGAGATGTTCCCTGGATCCTCCCAGCTCCGTCTCTCCTGTCCTGCTTGCAAGGCTAGGGCAGATAGAAAGCCAAACAGGCCCAACAACTTCACCCATTGCTTGTGTGTGTGTGTGTGTGTGTGTGTGTGTGTGTGTGTGTGTGTGTGCCCACCTCCACTGGAGGCTGACCACCTCATGCCCTGAGTATGGAACACCCCATAGGAAACAGATATGTGGGACCAGAGGGGCCTTACTTGATGAGGGGAGCTCAAAGGTCCTCTTCTCATCATCAGGAATGAGAAGGATATCTGGCAGCAGGAAAAAGCAAACAGGTCACCAACCCCCTTATCAACAGGGCTCTTGGGACCTCATGAGGGATTGCCCCGTATCACCCACATATCAGCACCTGGCACCCTTGACCACCCTGTCTGGGAGATTATGCAGCCAGATGCCCCCACTGCATCACCTGGTGAGCTGAAACATCCCAGACTTCCTGCTTCCTGGCCAGGTAGTCTGGGCTCTAGAGACAGGCTCTTGACCCTGCACTCACCCCATGTAGGGTCAATGAGAAGCTTGGCCACCCGGAATGCAAGGATGCTCCCTGCAGGAATGGTCACCATCTTCTTCCGGCTTAGGTGGCCCTTGCTTTCACCTTGAAGGATGGATAGAGGCTCAGGGATGTAGAGGGGATAACTGTGGGTGAGCATTGGGGACAGGCTTTAGCGGTTGTAGCTCACTGGGCAAGTGAGGCCATGGGTTGCTTCTGCAAGGGTCTTGGAAGAGCCTAGACCAGCTGCTGCATGGGAGGCTGTTGCCTGGCCTCTTAAGATCCTGTCATTGCTCTGTGCTCAAGGCAGGGCCTAGGGCTAACCACACACCTGCAAGCATGTGACTCCAGGCAGTGCAAACTGGCCTGAGCCCTCCCGGGCATGGATCAGGGTGACCTGCACCTCTTCCTGTGTCTGTAGCACATCTGTCACCATGAACACATCCTCACCACGACTCCGAAGCTGTTGCAGGATTTTATGTTCAGGCTGCTGCAGGTGCCTACAGAAAGATTGCTGGGCTTGCCCACGGTAGACTAGCTCCCTTTTCTACCCTTGATGACAGGTGGGATGGAAAGGCTAGGGAGAGCCAGGCGGATCTCTGTGAGTTCAAGGCCAGCCTGGGCTACAGAGTGAGTTCCAGGAAAGGCACAAAGGTACACAGAGAAACCCTGTCTCGAAGAAAAAAAAAAAAAAAAAAAAGAACCCACCAGTGTCTAGGTGGTGGATGTAGGAGTATGACAGATTCAAACAGAGAGAAGTGGACACCTACCTGTGGAGAGAGTCCATTCTGTACTGTTCATAAATGCTCCCAGTCCACTTCACTCCTTTCCCATAGCAGCTGTGAGCTCAGCCTGATCCTCAAGATACAGCCCTGGCAAGGGAGCCTTAATGGCTCCAGTACCATCCTTCCCAAACTGGCATTGTTCATAGCGCTCCCTTCTTCTGGGACTTCCCTTGCTCAGTGCTGAGAGACACTGCTTCAGAAGCCTCCTGATGCCTCGGCACCCAGCAGACTTCCCAAGAGCCTGGCTGCTCAAGGTCAGAGAGCCCTCCTCCCTGCCGGCGGCTAAAGGTCAGAGAGCCCTCATCCCTGCCGGAGGCTCAAGGGCAGAGAGCCCTCATCCCTGCCAGCAGCTCAAGGTCAGAGAGCCCTCATCCCTGCCGGGGACTCAAGGTCAGAGAGCCCTCCTCCCTGCCGGGGCTCACCTCTCTTGATGCATGACCACCCAGGTGTTCTGAGCCACACGCAGTATACACACGTTCATGGACGCACTGTGACTGCCAGACATGGCAACCGCGCCAGCAATCTTCCACTGGTCCATGCTTTCCAGCGCCATGCGACCCTGCACGTTCCCGTCGGCGGCATCAGAGATTTGGACGCAGCCACAGCATTCAGGTTCTGAGGCAAGACTGACTCTAAGGTTCCATTACACTACCCACTGCCTTGCCTTTCCTCTGTAGCTGTGGGTCCTTTAACGAGCTCCCTCCTCTGGAACTGGGGCCAGAGGAACAGAGCGGGCAGAGGAAGGGGGCAGAGCTGATAGAGCCCAGGAGGAGGACAGGCTGGGCTTAGCCCACTATTCAATCTGGGGGCTCGGGATGGGGATGAGGGGAGCAGGGAGAGAGATACCTGGTTCTGGAGCACCAGGTTCCAGGATGTCTTTGATTGACAGGTTGACACACTTGTATCGGTATTTCCAGTACTTTGAGCGCGAGCGTTTCCTGCTCAGGAGGCTGTAGGGTCTGAAGCTGGTGGAGTTACAAAGGCTGTCCACTGGGATGAGGTCTCCCCTTGAGTCCAGCTCTTTGATGGCACTCTTGACTACCTCCTTAAATGCTGATGGCATGGTCCTGAGGGCAGACAGATCGGTCCTCTTAGTTGCCTCCAGCACTTGCTAATGCTCTCCCTTCAAAGTGGCCTTGCCTTGCTAGTCCTGACACATCCTGACTGACCACTGCACCGACACAGACCCAGTGTTCACTTTGTGGCTCACTTGTCTGTCTCTCCCTGGAGCCATGGGCCCTGGAGAGAGGAGGCAGCCTAGAGCAGGTCCTGTACTAGCCACACCATCAATTCCTGTGTGTAGCCCTTGGCTACTTGGGACATCCTGTTGCCCTCCTTGGCTGAGGACCAAGGCTGGGGAGGGAACACAAGCCCCCACTTCTGGGATATTTGGCACAGGCACCCACAGCAAAGCCAGTGTTCAGATTTCAGTGGTTTCCTCCAGGGCTCTCTCTTATGCACAGCTCCATGAGACAAGTGTCCTGGATGAACCTTCATGGGTCAGAAGCCAGAACAGGCCCAGGACAGACAGACAACCTCTTTAGTGTGGAGAAGCAGCCCTACCCCTAGGAAACTGGGTTCCTGGGGCCTGCTGATGGTGGAGAGTTAGCCAGGAAGGCACTTGTAGGGCAGGGAGGGACTTGTGGGCCAGGGGATCAGCATGAGGCCCAGAAGCCTAGAAAGTCAAGCCCAAACCAGGCTGGCTCCACTGTCTGAGCTAGTGGGTGGCCTTCATAGAGGCTACTATGCCCTAGAGGCTAGAGCGTCCTCAAGCTGTCTGGTGTAGTGGAGCTGCTGGGAAAGGCTGCATCCCCCACCCGACAAACAGGCATCCGGGCCCTAGAGCAGACCAAGCCAGAGGAGGAGAAGCCGGACTCTGGGAGAGCTGAGTAGCAGGGTGGCTCACCTTGATCTTCAGATCTTCACCTCTACTGAGGTGCCGGGGCCCACCAAACAAAGCAAGGATGTTCGGGGGACCAGGGAAGGGTCTCTTGTCTGCTCAGCCGGGGAGCCAAGAGATCCTAGTTGCTAGAAGGCGCCAGGACACAAAAGTGAACCTGTGAAGCTGCAGCCCCCATGAGGACTCAGTGTCACGTCTAAGGAGCCCTCCCTCCCTCCCGGAACAGTTTGACAGTCCAATGGCTGCAGTCTGTCGGCCCCAGTCTCCTCCTCTTCCCTGGAACTCACCAGGACCGTGGGAAACGCCTCTCTTCTCTGTAACTGGGAGCTTCGGTTTCATCTGGTCCTGGTACCTAAAACTGCGCAGCACTTGTTCTTTCTTAAACATCTGGGCAGTAGGAAAAGATCTAAATGAACTTCTGTAGAGATACACAGCTGTGCAAATTGTCCAACAAGCACATCATGAGTTATCAGGAAAATGCCAATCAAAACTAGATAGCATCAAGGCTGGTGTTCATCCTAAGTAACTAGTAATAAGGATGTGGAGACACAAACCTGGGGTTCTTGCATGCAAACGGTGGCGGAGCAGCTGATACATTGGCAGTTTTTCAAACAGGTATATGTTTAGTTACCAGGTGACCTAGGGATTGGACTTTTAGGTGCACATCCAAAGCAAGAGGTTAGCGAGGAAGAGGAGGAGGATGAGGAGGAGTAGCTGCGGTCTGTGCCTGTCAAAAGTGAAGCGTTTGCCTAAAAAGCAAACAAGAGTCAAACAGATATGTACACACCAATGTTCATGGTAGCATTTACATTTTCTCTTTAGATTTTGAAGGTTTTATTGTATGTGTGTGAGTGTTTTGTCTGCATGTATGCACCTGCACCATATGTGGGTGCTGGGACCTGAGCCCCAGTCCTCTAGAAGAGCAGCAAGTGCTCTTAACCCCTGAAGCATCTGTCCAGTCCCCATGGTAGCATTTTAAAGAGTCAAACAGATAACCCTTAAATAACCTGAATGTCCATCACTTCATACACAGATAAGGAAAAAAATAGTAATTCTGTACAGTATTTTGTTCGGTTTTGGACCCTGTACTCATGGGAAAGTAAGTGTTTTCTGACTAAGCTCCCTCACCTACCCACAGTGGGTGCCATGGCAACTGGAAGGAGTAAACACACTTCTGTGATACACTGCAGGATGCTGATGAACTGTGAAAACACACCACCACAGGCAAATGAAGCCAGACCAAAACCATACCAACTAACCAGACAAACCACTCACTACTGTGCAAGTTATTTTGTTTTTTGTTTGTTTGTTTGTTTGTTTGTTTTTGTTTTTTTTTTAGACAAGATTTCCCTGTGTAGCTTTGTGCCTTTCCTGGAACTCACTTTGTAGCCCAGGCTGGCCTCGAACTCACAGAGATCCGCTTGCCTCTGCCTACCAAATGCTGGGATTAAAGGCGTATACCACCAGCGCCCAGCACAAGTTATTTTGTATGAAACTCCCAGATAAGCAAATCTGTTAGTGCTTGCCAAGGTCTAAGGAAAGGGGGGGGAACAGTAACTCTTAATGGTTTTGGAGTATTTTTCTGGGGTGTGAGTAATCATCACACACTTTTATCCTATTTTACTTTTTGAGACACGGTCCCATTATGCAGCCTCTGCTCGCCTGGAACTCAACTATATAGACCAGACTGGCTTTGTATTCACAGAGATTTGCCTGTCTCTCTCTTGAGTGCTGGGATTAAAGGCGTGTGCCTCCATGCCCACACACTTCTGAATATGGTAGACTCATGGAATCATGCACTTTTTAATAGCTGGAGTATAAGGTAGGTTATGAATTGCTTCTCAGTAATGGCATTTATTGTAAAAACTCTGGACCCCGGGGGTGGGGGGGGCTGTAGAGATGGGTTCAGTGGTTAAAGAGCCTGTGTGCTCTTGCAGAGGACCCGAGTTTGGTTCCTAGCACTTTTTGGTGGCTCACGACCAACTGTAACTCCAGTGCCAGTGGATCCTTCAAGTTCTCCTGGCCCTCACAGGCGCTTCACAGACAGAGTGCACAGACACACATGGCGGCAAAACACCCACACACAAATAAAATATAAATAAAGACCTATTTTTATAAGTCTGGAGTTTAGTAGAAGCATCAGTCTAGCTACCGACTCCCAGGGGCCCTAGTGTTCTGGTATCGCGCGCCTTGGAGCTGCTCTCCACACACGGTTCCTTACAACCAACCTCCTCAGGCCTCTCTTAGGTTGTGATTGGAACACTGTGGCTT